ATGTGTGTGTTTGTGTGTGTGTGCGTGCGTGCGTGCGTGTGCGTGGGTGCGCGTGCGTGCGTCCGTTCGTGCGTGCATGCGCGCGTGCCGCTGCGCGCGCGCGTGTGCGTGCGTGCGTGCGTGCGTGTGCGTGTCGAGAAAGAGAGAGGGAGATAGGAGTTTTTTGTTGTTCATCAAAATGTGTGTGTGTGTATGCGTGCGTCTTGACGGAGAAATTGCTTACGCTGTCTACAGAGTTGATCCTGGCTCTCCTACTTTCGTGTAAATAGGAGAGCAAACGCCTCACGTCCTCTCTCTAGCTGTTCGCTCAACACAAGTGTCAGCCCTTGACTAACGACGTCGGCACTAATATGACGACAACCAGACTAGATGAGACCGGTGTACCTGCGGGTAGAGTCGCATCGTCTGCTGACGGCGACGTCTATAGCTATGACAATATATATCACGGCCGGGGTCGTTATCTAGGGTCGTTGCCCGCCACACGTTGTCAACCCCGGTGTGCTTGACGGTTGACCAACCTGCCCTCAGGCTCAAAATACTTCAAACCGGTACATCCTGAAATAGTCAGTGAGAGCAGTATATACACAAACGTCGTTGACACTAAACCTAACCAATTGATGAATCCACAAAATTAATAAATACATGTCAAACGTTTCCAAAACAGATGAACTGAAGCATACAGTAACCGGCGACAGAAGCAAAATATACCCCCAAAAACTAGTTTGTGCCCCCACGGACGTCATTGCGAAGGCAGGAATGATTAAATTTAGTCATCTCTAGTTTGTGTTCGAGAACGAGTTGTCTAGTGAATCGGACTACTTGGTTTCTGGGGTTAATGTTTTCGGGTTTGGGTTCCACCCGCCGTACCGCCTACCAGCGTACGTGCATGCCACTGCTGTGGTGACATTGCATGAACTTGACCGCAGAGGAGTCAAATTAAGTTTCCGACTCAAAGGCAGGCAGCATGTCATCGTGTGCGGCTGAATAAGAGCGTTTATTGTTATACGTGTTTTTTTCCTATAATATATTTTTTCTATAATACACAATATTTATACATATAAATCAAAGTTGTCGGCTGATAAATGTAAAAAGATTATGATTATTTCACTATGCCAACGATGATTCGTTACCGGGTGGCGTTACAGGCTGTGACGCAAAATTTGCTGACCAATCATAGGGCTCCAGTCTGGGTATCAAACTATGGCGGTGATTCGTGTAATCTAGGTGTAAACAAAATATCAATGAAATCACCTGCATGTATTGTAGTACAGTTACTGTTAGTATGTATATATATTTATGAGTATGGTCCTAACGGTGTTGTCTATCTATAGTGAATTAGAATCATCCAAAGCAACAACGTTAAACTACAAGGTATAGTATGAATTGCCGGCGTTACGTGCAACTACGACATACAGTCGATATGCCAGTCGTCTACTGTTTCAGTGTTTCTGTTTGACCCAGGACTAATTCAGTTATAGCATAGATTTATAGCTACCAATCAGCAATAGTTATCATTCATGTTTTTGTTTGTTCCTTAGGGTCATCTAGATGAGATTCTAAAAATTTATTTTTATATATACATCATACATTCATGATACATGGTGGAACAGTGCGAATTTTAGGGTCAAATTGTTATTTTTTTAACTTATTTTTCATTAAATCATAAACACATTTACTTAGGGTTTCACGGTCAATCTTTCATATGGAAGCATTTTTTAATTAACTGATCTTGCCCCTTATACCAACACTTCGGTCAGTTGACGGCATGACTCATCGGCATGAGCAGCGCCCTCTATCTGCGGACGACAGCAGCGTATCGATGCTGAGCGACGAGTCATCTACGACTCGCCGATTCACGAAGCGTAAGGTGCTGCGCCAGGTGGACGGCCGCTCGCAGGTGTTCGACGAGAGCTCGCTGAGTGATGCTAGCGCCCTCAGTGAGAACGTGAGAGACTACGCCGAGCGGAGAGGTGCCAGAGCCTTTATTTATTATTAATCCTGCTCATGTATTATATAGAGCGATAGGAGGGGAAAGAGAAAGAGAAAGAGAGAGAGAGAGAGAGAGAGAGAGAGAGAGAGTACTGTCTGTCTCTACTCTCATTCTCCCCCCTTCTCACTCCGTCTCTCGTCAGATCTCCTCTCTCTTCTCTCCTCATCATCCTCTCTCTCACTATCACTGTCGTACAAACTTGAGAAGCTGCAAATCAATCTCGAGACTTGCGCAATGATTGTGCGCCAAAACTCGGCGGATTCCTAGTTTGGACTGACAATCTCGGAAGATTGCGACAAACTGGAAACAGTCGTGATTCAACAACCGCTCATAACCATAGCGAGTGTGTGCGTGCGTGGTTAACATATAGAGAGAGCTTTAGAGATTTATATACTCATTTATCCAATTATTTATAACAAAGGTGACAACACATTGAGGAACAGAAAGTATAGACCTTATTAATTATTAGTTATCGATATAACATTTGAATCCCTAATAATCATTATGATTTGTGCAAGCTCTGTTTCCTCTGTTTTCCCAATCTCAAGATTGATTGACCCAACTGCCGGGCGCTGAAATTCCAAGTTGTGTCAACGATTCCGAAGTTTGGGCAGCAATCACATCTCATCCCAAATCCTCTCCAGCTCCGTCTCTCTCTCGACCGTCTCTTCAGTCTCTCTCTCTCTTTCTCTCCTCTCCTCGTTCTATCTCTCTCTGTTGATTCTGAGAGGCGTCGTCTCCTCTCTCCTCTCTCTCTCTCTCTCCTCCTCTCTCTCCTCTATCATCTTCTTCTCTCATGCTGCTCATCATCACTACCTCGGTCTCCATCTCATTCACTCTGCTCCTCTCCTCTGGATCTCTCTCTTCACTCATCGTCCGGGTCTCACCCTGACTCCGTGACCCTCCTGTCTCTCTCTATCATACTGCAGCCTCCTCTCAAATACAGTTCCATCCAGCTCCAACCCCCCGTCTGTCTCTCCCCGGTCCTCCACATCTGCCATCCAGCTCGTGCGATCATCGTCTCAAGCAATACTCTACCAATCTCAGCCCCCATTCTGCTTCTCTCTCTTCTCTCTCCTCCTCTCCAACCTCTTCTTCGATCTCATCATCTCCCGCTTCCCTCCTCTCTCTCCTCTCTCATCATCCATCTCTCAGATCCCATTCTCTCGGGTCTTCTTCATCCATCTCGTCCTCTCCTCTCATCCTCAATGACTGACTCGATCTCCTCCTCTCTCGTCTCTCTCCACACACACTCCTATCTCATCTCATCTC